GTAATAGATTTTGACATCCAACGCCCCTGGCTGCCTTTAGTCTCGCTCTCTATCCCTACATTTGCCTTTTCTTTTAGTACGAACCTTCCTCTTAGCTGACTTCAATTATTTTATAGTTGATGAAAAAAAAAAAGAGACACTTTTATAATACCAAAAATAACCTTAACATTTTAATGAAAATTTTTTGTAAAATATTTGAATCTCACCTTAACATTATAGTATAATAGTAAATTAGTTAAAATAATTTATTTTCTTTCGTATTCTTTACATTAACTAAATAAGAATGCTATCTTTTTGTGAACAAAATTAAGAAAAGCTCGTACCTTCCCACAAAAAAAAATAAAAAAAAAAATAAAAAATAATAATAATAATAAATAAAAAACCTCGTAGTCGAGACTTTAATAGATTTTGACATCCAACGCCCATGGTTGCCTTTAGTCTTGCTATCTCTTCCTCCGCAGGTTTGCCTTTTCTTTTCATGTGAACATTCCTTTTAGTTGATTTCAATTATTTTTATAGTTGACTATCCCTATCAGGAAATTCTATCAAAAAGAAGAAAGTGACACCTTTATAATATCAAAAATAACCTTAACATTTTAATAAATAAAAAAATTATAAAATATTTGAATACCGACTTAACACTAAGGTATAATAGTAAATTAGTTAAAATAATTTATTTTCTTTCGTATTATTTACCTTTTGTAAATAATAATGCCATCTTTTTGTGAACAAAATTAAGAAAAGCTCGTACATTCCTAAAAATAAATAAATAAAATAAAAGAAAACCTTGTAGTCGAGACTTCGTAATAGATTTTGACATCCAATGCACATGGATACCTTTGGTCTCGCTCTCTCTCCCTCCACACGTTTGCCTTTTCTTTTCGTACCAACCTTCCTCTTAGCCGACTTCAATTATTTTATAGTTGAGTACCCCTAACAAGAAATTCTTTTTTTCTTTTTTCTTTTTTTTTTATAAAAAATAAAAAAAGAAGAAGAAAAGTGACACTTTTATAATACCAAAAACAACCTCAACATTTTAATGAAAAAAAATTGTAAAATATTTGAATCTCAACTTAACATTATGGTATAATAGTAAATTAGTTAAAATAATTTATTTTCTTTCGTATTCTTTACATTTTCTAAATAAGAATGCTATCTAACAAAATTAAGAAAAGCTAGTACCTTCCAAAAATAAATAAATTAATAAATAAAAGAAATGAAAACCTCATAGTCGAGACTTCGTAATAGACGTAATAGATTTTGACATTCAACACCTATAGGTGCCTTTAGGCTTGCTCTCTCCTCATCCGCACACTTGCGTTTTCTTTTCGTATGAATTTTCTTTTTAGTTGACTTCAATTATTTTATAGTTGCCTACCCCTTACCGTAAATTTTATTTTAAAAAAAATAGAGAAGAAAGTGACACTTTTATAATACCAAAAATAACTTTTTTAAAAAAATAATAAAATATTTGAATTCCACCTTAACAGTAAGGTATAATAATAAATTAGTTAAAATATATATATATATATATATATTTTTGTATTCTTTACATTTTGTAAATAAGAATGCTACCTTTTTGTGAACAAAATTAAGAAAATCTCGTACCATCCCCAAAGAAAAAAAACAAGACAACAAAAGAAAAGAAAAGAAAACCTTGTAGTCGAGACTTCTGGTATTAGATTTTGGCCTTCAGCGCACATGGCTGCTCTTGCAGTCTTGCTCTCTCAGCCTCCACACATTTGTCTTTTCATTTCGTACCAACCTTCCTCTTAATTGACCTCAATTATCTTATAATTGACTACCCCTAACAGGAAATTCTATTTTTTTTTAAAAAGTAACACTTTTCTAATATCAAGAATAACCTTAACATTTTAATGAAATTTTTTTATAAAATATTTGAATTCCACCGTAACACTAAGCTATAATAGCAAATTAGTTAAAATAATTTATTTTCTTTCGTATTCTTTACATTTTGTATAAAAATACCCTCCCCCCTCCCCCAAAAAAAAATAAATAAGAAAAGAAAATATTGTAGTAGAGACTTCGTAATAAGTTTTGACATCCAACACCCATGGCTGCCTTTAGTCTTGCTATCTCCCTCCACACATTTGCCTTTTCTTTTCGTACGAACCTTCTTTCTTGACTTCAATTATTTTATAGTTGACTACCCCTGAAAAGAAATTTTATTTAAAACAAAAAATGAAGAAAAGTGACACTTTTATAATACCAAAAATAACCTTAACATGAGAAAAAATTATAAAATATTTGAATCTCACCTTAATATTATGATATAATAGTGAATTAGTTAAAATTATTTATTTTCTTTCATGTTCTTTACATTTTTTAAATAAGAATATTATCTTTTTGTGAACAAAATTAAGAAAAGCTCGTACTCTAGCGACTTCTAGATATCTGACCTCCAACGCACGTGGCTCCATTAGACTCAGTCTCTCTCTCCTCCGCACGTGTCTTTTCTTTCCGCACTCTTTAGATGACTTCAATTATTAATATCTAAGGTGTAAAGGAAGTGTCCTCATGGATCTTTTGTTTTGGGCATAGATTTCTGTATATTATTTTCTCCTTAATAAAACTCATTTGCCCCTGATATGTCTATTTCATGATGGAAAATTTGTTAGTAGTGGAGCATAAAGCATATTGTCCATGAGCATACATTTCATTACAAGCTGTAGTTTATATAAAATAAAGTATTATTAATCAAAAATAGTTTTGCTTTGTTTGGAGTGATGGAAAAGAAAAGAAAAGAAAAGAAAAGGAGAGAAAGAAAGAGATAGTGCTTTTTTGTTTGGTTTGTTGATGAGGATAGAAAAGATATGAAGGGAAATGATAGCAACTTATGTGACACTTTTATAATATAAAAATAATCTTAACATTTTAATATAAAAAAAATTTATAAAATATTTGAATCCCATCTTAACATTACTTCTCTCACAACTAACATAATAAATTGTAAGTTTATTATCTTCTTTTTCATCTAACTGAATAAAAAAGATGAAAGACACAATATCTTTTTTAGGAATGTCTCATCTATCTTTTTTTTCTCTCCATTCCATCTAATTTTTTTTCTTTCATACCAAACGAAACATTCGTCTCGCTCTCTCTCCCTCTCTACGCGTTTGTCTTTTCCTTTCGTATGAACCTTCCTCTTAGTTGACTTCAATTATTCTTCAGGTTGACTCACTCCTCATGGAGATTCTATAAAACATAAGCTGAAAAGGCAAAAGTTAGTCCCACAGTTCTTCAATAACGAGGTTAGCTTATCCTTGCCATACATCCGATGCGAATTTTATTCGACAATGCACATGTTAATTATTGTTGTTGAATAATTTAGATTTTTATGTGTTGTGAATTGTTTCAGTTCTTGAATCTCTGCTTCATTTTGTGGAATTCAGGTACTTCTCAATCTTTTTAGCTGAAGTATGTTTTTGTTCCAAAGTTATAGACTTCTAAAGTGTTTATTTATTAAATGTTGATTTCAGTGGATTCCATTTTCTAAGTTTTTGCCTTGATATTGGATAATTTATGATTCTTTGTTTTTCAATTAATTGACATGTAGTTTATTAGGTGTAAAAAAGAGTTGAGAATTCATTAATTATGTTAGTTTTGACAACATATGCTTATGGGCTCGAAAAGAAGAAAAAAAAAAAATTATATATATATATATATATATATATATATATGGTCATTTCCAACGAACAAATATAATACTGTGTGGTGTACAGGAATAAAAAAGAATGCCTATTCAACAACGCTTGTCAATGGAGTGGATACTGATCCGGATCCGATCCGAATCCGATCTGATTAGTCGGATATGAATTGAACAAAAAATCCGATAACCCAATTACGATTCGAATCCGATAATCCGTTAACTTAACAAATCGGATATAGATTATGCTGACCCGATCCGATAATAATTCGATCAGATTAAAATTATATATAATTATTTATCAATAATTTTACATATATACGTATTTATATATATATATTTATATATATCAATACTCCTATTAGAATTGTATTAGATGTAACCCAAAAATTCAAAATAAAAAATAAAAAAAGCATAATGTTATATATACAATAGTGTGATATTCTCATCCACATGCTAATAAATCTCTTAACATACGTACTAATAATATCATACTATTTATTCATTAACAAAGAGTAAATATTTTTTTTTTTTTCCTTTCATATTTTACTTATCTTTTGTTTTATATCTTTTTCTTATAATCATTGTTTTTCTTATTCTCTTTTGACATTAATTTATATATTTTTCTTCTCTTTTTTTTAATATAAAAAACTTACATTTTTATCGGATCGGATTGGATCGACTAAAATGTTTATCGGATTCAGATCAGATCAGGCCTGATCCGATCCGTTTACAGGTCTAATTCCAACCATTCCTTTATTAATTTGATATGTAATTTAAAGTGGGAATGACTGTTTCATTGGAATGAAAATTCATTCTACGGAATGAAAATCTATTCCACAACTAAAACAATAGAATGACCATTCTATTTCCAAGTAATTTTTTTAAAACAAATTAAGTTCCTAAAAAATTCTCATGATCGAAAGCCTAACAACAACTATCACTGCCTTCCACCACCACCATTATCACCACCGCAACCACTACCACTGCCACTGCCTTCTACCGCTGCCACCATTGTCGCTTTCCACCATCGCCACTTCCACATCCACCTCTACCACCGCCACCGCCACCACTGTCACTGTCTTCCACTATCACTACTATCAATCGATTTCCACCACCGCAATCGCCACCACCTTCCACCGTCGTCATTGCCATCACCGCCACCTTCCACCATTACCACTTCCCTGATTGCTAATACCACTGCAACCTTCCACCACCACCGCCTTCAACCAGCATCTTTGCCACAACCACTACCACCGCCTTCCACCACCACCACCACCACCACCACCACCTCCACTGCTTTCCACCACAGTCATTGCCACCACCACCGTCAATGTCACCGTCACCACCACTGCTTTCCATCACCACCACTTACACCACCGCCCACCGTCACCACCTTCCACCAACACATCCACTGTCTTCCACCATCGCCATTGCCACTACTTCCACCTTCCACCACCAACACCACCACCTCTACCACCTTTTACTATCGTTATTGCCACTGCTACCACTTACACGTACCACTGTCACCTTTCATCACCACCGCCTTCCACCTACCGCTATCGTTACTACCACAAGTTACACCATTGCCACCTTCGACCACCACCACCACTACCGGCTTCCACCACGACCACGGTCTTCCACCACCACCTCCACTGCCTTCCACCATCGCTATCGCCAATGGCTTCCTCCTCCATTACCACCGCCACCTTCCACCACCAGCACCTATACCACTTCCAACACCATTGTCCCCACCATCCACCATCGCTACCATTTCTTTTAACAAAATTAAAGAAGAATGTTATTTTGTTAATTTAATTTATTTGTCACTGGGATGGGTATTTTGAAGAATTTAATTTAAAATTCATTCCATTCTAGGTTTTAAATTTGTTTAACCAAACACTAGAATGATTATTATCATTTCATTCCTACATCATTTGGTATTTGTAACCAAACAATAGAATGATCATTCCATTCCATTTCCACTTGCATTTCATTCCGTTCCTACACACCAAACGTAGTATTAGGGTATGCTTAATTTGTCACTCCAAAAATAATGTTCTTAGAGGATTATAAGAGATATTTATCTAAAAGCAGGCCTCTTTTGAACTGATTTTTCAAAACAAAATTATCATAAATTGTCAACTAAGCAAATTTTTATATAGTTTTTTTATTTTCAGTATCCAGAAAATTGAACCAAGTATGCCCTTATTTTTTTTGTTTTCATTGTTGGGAGTGAAAGATTTATGTTTGTTGTGGAAATTTCACATATTTTATAGAAAACACAAAAGATAATGCATCAACTTATTTATATGTAATGATTCAAAATAATGAACAAAAACATCAATGGAAAAATGAAATAACAATGCTTTCATTAAACTAAATTAATAATACATCAACTTCGATTTGCAATTCTTTCAATAAAATGAATTCTTCAACAATATGAACAACATGGATATAGCAATGAGTAATGAATTTAAGAATATAAATAATTCAACATAAGAATATTAATATAATAATAAAAATTAAGAAGGAAAATAATAATTGTAAAATAGTTAAAGAATGAGATGGCTTGATTATAGATGTATGTGCAAATACATTGACCTAAGCTAATAGTCCTCCTTTATGTGGGTAATGGCGAAACTAATCAACTAGAACAAAGAATAAAATTGATGAAGGGAGCAAAAGAAATTGCACAGATGTTCATCAATTTAAAAGGATAAACTTATAAAACAAAATAAAGAGGGGAGAAAGCCAAGTGTCCAGATTTTATTTAATAAGAATATTTCAATACAAGGATTACAAGTATAGGAATTGTGATTGAACTAAAACACTAATTTTTTATTTTTATAAAAAGTAATGAAAATTTGTTGTTAATTTGGTCACCATTTGATTCTTGCCAGACGTGACCCATGATAAAAATTTATATTTAGGGTGCAAACAGTTGCAAATATATAAAGTGTGTGCAATGGAATTTCCAGCCGTAAATATTTCAACTTTTAACACAAAGTTACTACTCTGTTGGAACTAAGTTTGTCCTTCGGTGACAAAATTTGTTGTCGAAAACGGTCAACAAGAAAAATACAGTTTTTCAGGGAAAAAAAGTTGTGTAAAATCAAGAATAATTAGTATTCAAGTAATTTGAAATCATTTTTTAATTTGGCAAATGATTGAGTTTCATCTTCATGACTTGATGTGCATACTGTATATAGCTTCTTTATTTCCCCGTTTTAGTGTTTTGCTAGTATTTATATACATAGACGTGTGTGCATGTGTAAAAATAATTCATTTTCATGTATTTTCCCGGTGCCGGCAAGACTGACATATGAACAAACAGGTGATACGTACAGAGTATGAGTGAAGTAATGGATCGTCGGGGAAATCTTCAAGAAACAGCGCGACGTATAAAAAGCCGGATTTGTGAATTGCCGCAACCACACCCTGAACCTAGTATATTCAGAGTGCACAAAGCACTACGCAGCGTGAATGAAAAAGCTTACACTCCCATGCTAGTATCCATAGGTCCTTACCACCACGAAAACCCCAACCTGAGTGCAATGGAAGAACATAAGTTGCGTTATTTGCGTTCCTATCATCGACGCGTTAATAACAACAATGACATTGACACCATCAATGTGGAGCATTACCTCCTCGTCATGAAGGATTTGGCAGATATGGCTAAAGCCTGTTACGCAGACCCCATATATCTCTCTGGAGAGAAATTTGTGGAAATGTTGCTGCTTGATGCTTGCTTTATTATCGAGTTTCTTTGCAAATATCATTTAATGGATGAGGGTGAGGCTGACCCTATTTTCATGTCATCTTGGATGAGATTGCAAATCGGCCAAGACCTCATGTTGCTTGAGAACCAGCTTCCCTTCTTCGTTCTCTCTGAATTTTTTAACCAGACCCGGATCCCACCTTACACAAATACGTCCCTCATCGAGTTGGCAGCTTGGTTTCCGGTTAGTATTATGTTACCTAAATGCTATTCCAGAAACTAAACCAACGAACTAATTGGGAAGACATCTGCTGGTGAAAGCAAGCACTTTCTTGACTTGGTGCATAGGCTTTATCTTCCAATACGGAAGAAAAAGCAGGATTCTGGTTCGAATAGTACCCGAATGTCTTGTGTGATAGAGCTTCAAGAGGCTGGTATTAGCTTCAAAGTAAATGAAACTGATGATGTTAGCATGTTTGATATAAGGTTCGAGCAGAGTCACATGACAATTCCGAAAATTGAGGTGCAAGATCGAACAGAAATATTCTTGCGTAACATTGTGGCCTACGAGCAGCATTCTAGTGTGGAACCCAAATATTTCACAGATTATAGGTCCGTTATGGATTCACTTATCAATACGGAAAAAGATGCAAACGAACTACGTCTCCGTGGAATTATTGAAAACAGGTTGGGTGATGATGAGGAGGTGGCTCGTATGTTTAACAAGCTGGGTGATGGAGTAATAGTAGATCCACGGAGTTTCTATTACTCGATTGAATGCCAAAAGGTGAAGGACCATTGTGGAAAATATTGGAATCGATCCAAGGCGAAGTTAAGGCACAACTATTTCCACAACCCGTGGGCAAGTATTTCAACAACTGCAGCTGCTGTGCTCCTTTTACTCACTCTAATACAGACTGTAGTAGCCCTCAAAACTCTTCTTGATAATTAGTTCAAAAAGTAATCTATTATTTTATTACTATGCATATGTTGGGATTTGTATATTCTCGCATAGCGCATTCCTATTTATATTTTATACAATTAGTGAATTTAATGTGTTATGTTTTAATTCATTATGAAATTAATAATATTCACTTAATTACAAGAGATATTTATATGTACGTGAAGATTATCAATACATGAATATAAATAGTAATCATAAATACTTCATAATCGATAATTATGGATGGACTCTTAATTAACAAAGACTTGAACCGGATCCACGCTAGGTCGAGATATATTGCGAGAGCCGTCGTATGCAATTGTTCCCTATCACTGTCATGGCATTTGACTCTTAAGTATAAAAGTATAGACTATTTTATTAATTAGTATTAACTTTGATTTGTTCGGTGGATTTTTCGGAATCCAAAGACCGGCACTTTGGATAGTTATGTAATTTATAGTTAGAGGGTTATATTCTCAATATTTGCATCTTGCTACTAGTATTTATTTTGTATTGATTATAGTTGATCACAAAATAAAATCGAAGACCTTTGTGTGTTTTAGAAAAAATGATTTTCTATGTATTTATTTAGTAAATTATTATTTTGTCAAATAAATGTTTATTGTGATCAAGCCGAAAATAATCAAAGGTACCAAAATAAATATATTAATTTAATAGTCGGATTAATGACTTTATTTATCCTATAACTAATTATGTATAGACAGGTCAAAATGAAACATTGACTTAGAGGTTATTTACTATTTAATTGGAGTTCAATTAATTTCTTTTAGTGAAGTAGAAATTATTTTATGAATTAATTAAATTGGGACCATGGTATAATGAACCGGACCAATTATTAATTCATTGTAGCCAAGAAAATAGTAAGCTCAAGGGATTCTCACCCATAACCCAACTTGATATTGGATGCCCATTAGATTTGATATATCACGTGAATTTTAGAGATTGAGAAATTTATTGTCTTCATGATTATTCTGACTATATATACATGGAGTCCATGTATATTTGAGGTTACGCCTTTGTGCATTATTTTTGGAAGATAAGAAAATATTTATATCTCTAAGATTTTAGGGTTAGTGTTCTAATGGAGGCTCCTATAAATTTAGCTCTTCAAAGTTATTCATAGAGGTATATAGGTGATTTCTAAAGGCAAGATTACTATCGAAGATGAAGGACTAAAGAAGAGGCATATAACTAAAGGATCTACAATAAGTGAGAATATTCACTTTAGATGAGAGATTTAAGGTTTACTCAAATCTTGATGTAAATTTACTAACTCTAAATGAATGGATTATCATCTTCTTCTTCATGCATAAAACTGATCTATACACATGAATCAAGATCTTTATTCGAAAATCCCTCTAAAATTTTTTAAAACTTCCATTTCCCTAATAGTATAAACAATTTACTCCTATTTTTTTTTTTTCAAAAATTATGCAGTTCCTTTCCTTCCAAATTTCATATGTAGCAGCGCTGCAGCAGCAAGAATTATTTTATATTATGGATCTTAATTAGCTTACTTGGTCGCAGTTTGGATGTTTTGGTTCCTTTTATGCTGTACATATTAATCAAGAACCAATATGCATTTACTGCGAAGAAATCAACACACACCGATGGTCAAAATCAATATGCACAAAATAAAAAAGAGAAAAGATCCACACACACAATCAATATGCACAAAAAGAAAAGAGAGAGAAGACCTAGAAAGAATGTACAAGGATATATATTTATAGAGAAGAAATTTACACAGAGACAGTTAAAATCAATATGCACAAAATAAAACAGATCGAGAAGAAATCGACACACAATCAATATGCTGTAAGATTATTTATGTAATTGTGACCCACATGATTTGGACATGTGACATATTACTCAGTGGCGTAGCCACATAGGGACAAGTGGGGCAACTGCCACCACTGAACTTTTAATTTTTTTTAGTTTTATATAGAAAGATTTTTATATTTGTATAATTGTCCCCACTAAAAGTTGACATTGCACATATATATACTATATATATGTAACCAAATGACCATTCAGGGTATTATAAAAAATAAAAATAAAATACTATATATATATATATATATATATATATAACCAAATG